AGGGGAGTCAAACCTACAATCACTGCTTGAAGAAAATTTATATTTGCTCGAGGAGGAATCTTTATTAGCAAAGAAAATAAATGTCAATATCAAGATATCCCCAATTTTGTCATTTTGTTAAGACATAATTTTGGTTTCAGATGGGCATGGTAAGCATTTGTACCTGCTGTGCCCTTTACTTGAAAATGCATTGTTGGTGTCAACAAGTCCACTGGATAAACCCAACAACCTATTGGAAAGAATTTTTGGGGTGATACGTATTGGGGCGGATTATAGAATTGTTCAAATTGATGTGTTTGGTGGCTACAATTATTCACCTGTACTTGTGTGGGGAATATACGTCAATTTTCTGCCACCTGTTACACTTGTACACCACCAAACACATCAATTTGAACAATTCTATAATCCGCCCCAATATGTATCACCCCGAAAATTCTTTCCAATAGGTTGCTGAGTTTATCTAGTGGACTTGTTGGCACCAACAATGCCTTTAGCACACCAGGTACAAATGCTTACCATGCCAATCTGAAACCAAAATTACGCCTTCACAAAATGCCAAAATTGGGGATATCTTGATATTGACATTTTCTTTGCTAATGAAGACTCCTCCTCGAACAAATATAACACTGTGTGATCCAAAATAATAAGTGCTCATCCTGTAAAAAGTTCAGAACATGCCTGTATCAAAATCATACATTGAATTCTAGCTGGGTATTCTAGTTAGCAACGTCAAGAGAATAAAAAGAAAAATATTATAATCATAAACAAAAGAACTTAAATACACGTGAAGATGCATGTTCAAGAATCCATTAACACATTACAAAAAACTACCACAAAATCCAAGAAAGCTTACAAGAACACACATTCGTAAATCTGTTAACACATTACAAAAAACTGGACAAAAAAACACTATAGGTTGATTGACACACGTGTATATCAGAAGTGGGGATTTGAAACTCTGTTGTTGTAAATCAAAAAGTGACTTAACAAGCTGGATTGGCCCATAGAAGCCAAGATGCTCAAGAGATCCCCCATCCCAAAGTCCAGTACAAAAATGAACCAAAAAGCAGAAAAAAGAAGTTAAGGACACATAAAAGGAAAGAAATAGTGTAATAAAATAAGGAAGGCAAAAGACAGGAAAGAAAAGACACAACACTCCTTTGCAATCATGAGATTCGAAAGGTGAAATAAGAACTAAGCATCTTCCTATTCATGGTACTTCATTCATAACACTAAACCACTGATGCAATGAAAACCTTTAGGCCAGCACAGAGTCGTAATCATCTTTGCTCACATGGTGTTGACAGCAGGGGAGAATATGGTAATCGAGCACAATGACAAAACTATGGCCCTCTCCTAAGAGAATACACGAATATATACAATCCTAAGATAGTATTTTTTTTCAACAAAATCATATGCACTCATCTCTAAATCGAATTAACAGAAATAATTTTCTAAATCGAAACAAACGTTTAGAACCCATACACTCAGAAATCTGATATTTATGCAATTACAAAGTTATACATGTAATTTGAACAAAAAAAAATAGATCGAATAAAGCTTCTAAATCAAAGAACAGAGTTACAAAAACGAAAATAAAAAACTTGCAAATAAACCATAGAACCTAAAAACCTGTTAAAATTAGGCTCTCTAATGGACTGCTATATGGACTGCCAAAATTTGCCTTTTGCCATATTTTGTGCCAGATCTAACAAAACAAATAGCAATAGCTATTTGCCTTTTGTTGCCCTGCCGTCTCTCTCTCGCCCTCGAACGCAGCAGATCTTTCACCGGTAGTCGGGTGAGAATGTCTTCGAACAGATTCTCCGGAAGCTCCGACATCGGAAACGCCACCAATTGCCTCTGTCTCTTCCCCTTTCCCATCGCTGCTTTTAAACAACACTAATACTCACAATCCAACTTCAGAGATTCAACGACTGCTTTTCACACAAATGTGTGTGAGAGAGGGAAGTTATGAAATCTGATATACAGAGAGTAAGCAGAGAGAGATGATATGGGTCTTGATATAGGTATCAGGTAATAGGTTTTGAACTTTGGATTCTTGCAGACAGATAGATAAACTGAAATATATGGGTTTTGAATTTCTGATTCTTGTAGATTTTGTAGTTTGCAGTTGCAAAAAGTGAGAGAGAGGGCAAGTAGATTTTGTAGTTTGCAGTTGCAGAGAGAGAGAGGGGGCAAGTTCTCAGAGTTGAGAACGAGAATAGAGATGGAGTAGTTTGCAGTTGCAGAGAGAGAGGGAGAGAGAGAGGGCAAGTTCTCAGAGTTGAGAACGAGAATAGAGAAGGAGGCGACTGGGGAGGCTGAAATGATTTGACCTAAAAATATATATATTTTTAATAATAATATAATCAAATATATATAATATACATATAAATTTCCAAAAAAGAAAAAAAATTATATAAAAAAATTAATTCACTGGTAAAAAAATTATAAAAATTTGTTTTTTTTTTTTTTTTTTTTTTTTTTTTTGACAAAATATTTTAAATTTTTGTTTCTTTTTAATTAGGTTTAGTTTTAGTTCATTCTAATTTCTACAGCTTGACTTAAAATGTGCTTAATATTAATATTACACATGCAAATATGAATGGTGGGAATGGTAATTGAAAAAGAATGATGGTTGTGTCAAAAAATAGCATTTTGCATGAAATGGATCATTGGAGCAAAATTGCTAAAATGTAGCATCTCGACAATATAACCCATGTCAAAATATAAATTTGATATTCGAAAATGACTTTTAACATTGGAGATGTTTAAGTCCCCTTTTGGAGCCTATTTTATTCATAATTATTTGGAAACGATTTTATATTTTCAGAGTTTTTAGAAGAAGAAAAAAATCCAACTAATTTATTTTAAGTAAGTGAACCAAACATGCCTTTACTCTTTTAAATTATATAGTTGGTACTCTAAAACATGACAAATGGATTTACTTTGTGCAAATCAGAGTTTGTGATCTTTGTTTTCTTTATGTACATTTTGCTAAAAATTAATATTTATTAAATTTTAGAGAAAATACCAATTTTATAATTGCTTTCTTTATATAAAAAAAAATTAGGATTAATTACATTCATACTTCTTGAGGTTTGATCTATTGACAGTCAGATGGAAGTTAGCCCATTTTTTAACAATAACACCCCTTAAATTTGGTAAAGTTAACAAAAACCACCTAATCAACCCTTTCTAAACCTGACACTCAATAAAATGACCTAAATACCTTTTGATTTGTCAACAAAAATATTTAAATCATGAAATGACTTGAATGCCCACTAACTAATTTTAATGCCAAGTACCAAAATGACAAATTTTAATCTCACTGTATTCACAGTACCCATCACCACAAAGTATACAAAATCATATATACACACACAAATATATATATATGGAAAGAGAGTATTTAGCGAGAGATTCTCCATTAATCACAAACCTATTCCATATTTAGAAAATAAATTTCATACGCAATTATATAAATCTCATGTATCCAATTCCAATCACATCATTATTGGCAAGTTAAATTCAAAAAAGTGAATACTGTGAATTGAATCCATGACAAAATCATGAACATGAACCCCATTACAATAGCACATACATGAGATAAATGTAGAAATAGAGTATGACATAGATAAAAAATAAAATGAAAATAAAAATTCAATAAATAAATGAAGATTTTAATTAAATGACAGAATTATAAAATTTAAATCTAAATTTGAAAATTTTCAACAGCAAAAGTCAACCTTGCTTTGACATCTCTAGGATCATCACCAAAGAGAAACAACATAGAGTTAAACCAAACCAACCAAAACCAAAATTCACTCTCACAGTGTTGAAGAAATGAGAATTCATATTTATCACCCAATTTTGACCCAATGTTGTTATTGATTAGTTATCAATTCTTTTATTGTTTTCCCTCCGGCAATGTCAACCGGTGACGCCATCAATTCCGCTGTCAATGACGGCCAACTTCCAGCCGCACCCACCGCCGCCACGTGACGGATTTCACCGCCAACGCAAAGAAATCATCAGAATTTGTGGTAAACGGAGTTTGCGCTGAGGATGACATGAACGGCCACCGCTAATCGCTGCTCTAGTACCTGTTGCTGTGGAAAAAAAATGGGCTGAGATTCCGGAAACGTGGCTGTGTAAGGTGGATGATTTGTTGCTGATGGTGTGTACGATCGCGGAGATATATGAGCCGTCTAATCTTTGGAGCTCTGGTGATATTGGTGGCATTCTCGGTGTTCCTGAAGTTCTCTGAGAAGGTTAAAGAGAGAGATGAAAAAAATGGGGGAGGTGAGATCTGTTGCCAATATATGAAGGGCAAAAACGTCCTTTCAAAATTTTGGTACTTTATAATTAACATCAATTAAATATTGAAGGGTAATAGAGTCTTTTTTTAACTTTTTAGGGACTGTTTGGCTGTAACAGGGGCATCATTGTTCAAAAAAAAACTAACTTTCATCTGAGTATCAATACGTTAAACCTCAGAGGATGTGAGTGTAATTAACTCAAAAAATTACAAAAGTTTTATTTATCAAAGAGACAAATGCCACATTACAAAAAGTCATAGAAACCCCATTTCCACCAAATCAATAGAAGTCATACGAGGCACCAAATGAAACAATTTGGATACAATACAAGCTACCAAACACAACTGGATAAAGTTGATAAATTGAGGATGAGGATGGAAAACCCGATAGCTGTGCTTTATACGTATTTTAAAGGTATTCTTGAAGAAAAAGTTCGTATGATATGCATAGATATATGTAATATGTGTGCGTGTATATGGTATAGAGAGATGTTCACTAGGCTCTATGTGGACTAAAGTCCTTGATTTATATTTTAGCTTCGGATGATATCAGACGGTGGTGGATAAAATTTTTCTACATCCGTAAATAAGTGAACAGTTCTAGGTATGGTATAAAATATTAAATTGATTTAAATGTAACAGATTGCAGGAAAAAAAGAGCGCAGAGAATCGGAACCCAGTGGCGGATTTCACTATAAAATAGAGAAGGTATTTGTGGTACCCTTAAACCCCACTGCCCCTAGCCGTTTCCTTCTACATTTCCTCTCCCTATAAACCCTAACTCTCTCTCTCTCTCTCTCCCTCTCTCTCCATTGGCTGCCCGCAGGTATACTTGCTTTACAAACCCTAAATTCCTCTTCTCACTGCTTTCCTGCTATCTGTTTTATCACTGTAGAGTCGATCTTCATTTTCATTTTCGTTTATTCTAGCTGAAATCTGCTTCGATTATTATTATTTTTTTTTTTTCATTTCGCTTTCGATTTTGGGCTGTTTATTTAAATGTTTGATCATACTTTATTGGGTATTATTCTGTTTTTGTTTTGTATTGCTGTTTTTGTTGATCTGTTGCTGTTTATATGTGATTCTAGTTATTTTTCTTGTGCTTGAGTTGAAGTACTGTTTTGTGATGGTGGGTTTGTGAAATCTTGCATTAAAAGCTTGTCGTATGTTGGGGGTATGCGAACTTCGATTTGATGTATATATTTTTAGGAACAAATCAATTTATTACGTATGTGTAATGTTTTCTGTGAGACTAAAGGCATTTTTGGTTGAGGTTTTGTTATTGGTTGTCAGTCCCTTTGTTTTTGGTTGGGGTGTTCAGCAAAGGGTAATTCTGGTTGGCAATAAGTGAGTTTTTTCTGGGTTCAGGAATATGTTTTATGTGTGGAGGATATATGATCATTTTCTCTAAGATGGGCCTCTTGTCTGTCGATTATTGTGGTTTTTAGTGCTTTTGGTTGCTGTAGGCTCTAAATTAGTTGATAGGGCGGTGCTTTTGGTTGCTGTAGGCTCTAAATTAGTTGATAGGGCGGTGACAAGTATTTGCATTATTCAAAAGTTTTTCATTATTTTTTCCTTCACTTGAAGATAAACTGAGTATATCCTAAATAACTAAGCAGTTATGGTACTATTCCTAGTCATCCTTGTATGTTGCAAATTAATTATGAATTTTATGGACTTTGCGAATTGATCTGAGAAAAGGAAAATGGCAACACATTTTTTGTACTTTCGTTTGCATCCATTTTCTTGTTTGGAAATTCTTTGTCGGGTTTTATTCTCAAGTATTTGGAAGATTTTTCAAAGAACTCCTGAACTTCAAATTATTTAACGGAATTAATGCGGAATGATTCTCAAATCTTATTTTGTCTACAAGGCTGATTGTAATTGCAAGGCAAAAGATTTCTTGGTATGTATGTCGGAGTGTTGATTTTAGGCTGATGAAAATGTGTCTTTGAATACTATATATGGAACTGCTCTGGAAATCTTTCGTAATGCTGAATGTGTCTTCATATCTTTTTTTGGTCTACAAGGCTGATTGTAATTGCAAGGCAAAAGATTTCTTGGTATGTATGTTGGAGTGTTGATTTTAGGCTGATGAAAATGTGTCTTTGAATACTATATATGGAACTGCTCTGGAAATTTTTCGTATCTGAAATTGCTGCTTTAGTTTTTGCTCAAATGCAAGCAAGAATATAGTCCAGTTTGATTGCCATTTTCTTTAATATATTATATTATATACTATTCGAAATATTAAGCATAAAAAGTGAGATATTATAACATTCATTCCTCTATAAAAATGCAGCAGAATCAAAATGGCATTCTGCAATAGATTTGGAAGCCTCCTCAGACAAACTATCTCACAGAATGGTGCAGCAAATGGGCAAGTTCCAGTGGCATCTATGCTTAACGCTATTCGTTGCATGTCGTCTTCAAAGCTTTTTATTGGAGGTATGGCTTGAATAATGTGATTCAGTGAACCAAATGTTATTTAACTAAATATTGTTTCCATGTCTTTTTTCTGAAAACTTGAAATTTTAATTTATTAATCAGGTCTTTCATATGGAACTGATGAGGAGTCTCTTAGAACGGCATTTTCTGGCTTTGGTGATGTAACTGAGGGTGAGTTTTAAACTTTATTCTGAACTGCATTTAGTAATACACGTCGGTAGGCCAAAGATGATCAACTATAAACATTAAAGCAGGACATGTGAGCTTAAAATTTGAAATGGTATAGGATTGTAATGCCTTTTAGTAGAATAATAATTTTTTGGAACTGCTCTTCTGCATTTTATAGGTATGGTACTAATTAAATACTCTACATTCCTCTAGTATAATATATATTACACATACATGTATTATATATATGTATGAGCATATACAAGTATGTATAGAATGTTAAATAATTGATGCAGTATTTACAATTCCATATTAATAGTAATATATAGTTTGAGTTTCACTTGGGTTTTTCAGAGTTGTCCTTACCGTTGAAGGTGAAATTGGTTTTTTGCAAACTTTCTCTTTAAATGCTGGGATCAGGTGCTTCACATGTTCAAATAACTCTTCAATTAGAGAAATTCTAATACATGGCATGACCTTTTGCGTGCAACCTAGTTCCACAAACTTATTGGTGTTGATTTGTGACGAGGCGTGGCTGGCCTATATTGGTGCCATGTCCTGCAATTTATTCTTATAATTAGTGTTATCAGGTGGATGGATTCTCTTGTTACTGAATATAAGGCAAGTGATTGCGATATGCAACATATTTATGAGATGGAAGCAGCAAATTTTAATTGCTGAGCATGAATAATTGTTTTTATTTGTGCTGCATAGTAGTCAAGCTTGGTTTACTCCTTTTAGCTGAGTGTACTATTCCATGTTTATTGCCAACTTCTAAATGCCTTTTTTTCCTAACATTATCTGTTGGTGTTGAGATTCCTTTCGAGCTCTAAGATGTTAATAGTTGCAATTTTGCATCAACTTAATATAAGTAATATGACTGATCAATTTTTTTTGCTAATGGCTCCCATTTGTACATTGCCTGCATTTATTGCTGACAGTTGTCAGTTTGGCTAGCAAGTCCATAAACCTCTGTGCCTTTTTCTGCCTACAGTCTGAATTCAAACAGTGCAATGCACAAGCAGGGTACCGTAAACTTCAGTCTCTTGCTTTTTTTGGTCCTCGTGTGATGTTCAAGGTCTCAATGTTATGGTTTCCTGATATAATCCAAAAGATCAAAATTGGTCATTATCTATCTTTCTGTTTTTGAGTATTTTTTACCTTTTGGGGGAAAAAAGGAGTGTTTCTTCATGTGGGCATTATTCATTTGTTTAATTCATAGGATAGTGTTGTTCTACTTGGTTTGGTGGTTGGAGCTAGAGTAATTTAACCGTGCATCTATTTTGAACTTTTATGGTTATACATTACTAGTGGCTGTTGATTATGATTTCCTTTGGGATTATTTAGTGGATAAGAATCATCTTTCTTTTCCATTGTTTTTGGTCCATGGTAATATATCGAAATTCAAGCTTCTTTGTGGTGGTGTTGCACACAGCTAGGGTTATTACTGACAGAGATACTGGAAAGTCTAGGGGATTTGGGTTTGTGAGCTTCTCCAGTGAGGAAGAAGCAAGCTCGGCTATGACAGCCATGGATGGACAGGTGGGAATTAGAATATATGGGAAAGTTACATTGGATTTCTAATTTAGTCATAATGTTTCATAACTTGCTTTATTTTTCAGCCTTTAGATGGGCGGAACGTTCGTGTGAGTTATGCCACCGACAGAGCACCATCCCCTCGAGGCAGCTATGGCGGTGGCGGTTATGGCGGTGGCGGTGGCGGTGGCGGTTATCGTGGCGGTGGAGGAAATGGTGGATACTAAGCTGCTGCCGTTGTCAACAAGTTATGCTGTCCATAGGCATATGGACTATTCTAATTTATTTAGTGGTGTAGTCTCAGAAACGATATGGTATGTTGCTAGTCTTGTTTCCTTAGTATGCATTACTTTGCATGAATTGTTTCATTTTTCGACACACAAATTTTCCCAGAAAACTGGTCTTGCACATTCTGTAAGAGATTCTGTTTCTTTTGTGTTGTTATTTCAGAAGAAAAGAATCGTTATCTTAGTTTTATTCCTGTCTGGTTGCATTAAATGGTGCATGGATGACACCACTATTATTTACCATTGTGGGGATATTGTTTGTCTGATGATCGTACCGGTGCTGCCGTGGACTATATTTATGGTGATTTGGTTGGTGATGACCTCTTTGGTCATGTTCCTTCAACCAGAGCATGGTTGTGAGATGGTGAAATATATAGTGTACAATTTGTATGCATTTTTGGGTTGTAGGAGACTTGTCTTGGGCTAATTCAGCATTATGGATGGAAGACAGTCCAGTGGGCTTCTCATCCATACACAACTATAGAGTTCAAGGTCCTGTCTGATTCCCAATTTAATTTATGTGATTTCACATATATTGTGTTAGGGGGCACCGAATCGGTGTTTTGGATTTTGGGATCGGAGGAATTTTAGTTGATTCGGTGCTCCCAAACATATTCGTAGTATTATGCCATGTTTGGTGGCACCAAATGGACACTTTGGCTTGCAAAAAATTTAATATAAATTTTAAACTAAATTTCTTTCAATCCCAAATCTAAGATTTAAGAAACCCGATGGGGTGTGTTAGTCTCAAAAACAATGAGTCATTTAGAATCAGAAATTTTGCTAATCTTGAAAGTTCCAAGATGGTAAATTTCTTAAAATGTGGTAAGTTGGAGTTGGGGTCACTCAAATTTGTGGGATGTTCAAACATGCCTTTAAGGCTAATGGATCCTTAGATATGTGTGTCAAGAAGGAAGTGGTCTCAGCTTAATTTGCATGTTATGAGCGACTAGCCTGGCCCAAGTACTTAAACGGGCTATCTGCTATAGTTGAGTGGTTTTCAAAATCAAAGGATCATCTCTAGGCCCAATGATACAAAAGTAATAAAATGTAGGTGATAAAAAAGAATAAGAAATGCGTTGAAATAATTTTTGTGATAAAAAATAAAATAAAATAAAAAATGCTTTGTTCGGTTGGAGAGAGGGATTGGGGTGGGATGGATGAGAGAGAGGGATTGAGGTAAAAAAAGAGTAATAACTAACATAAATATATATTTTTCATTACTAACATTCTTAAAAATTTGGAATAGATATAGAATTTTTAATAATAAGGATATATTAGTAAAAATAATATAAATACCATATTTTCCTACCATACAAAAAAATATGTCATCCCATCTATTATTTCTTTTATCCATTCCATCCAATCAAACAAAAAGTGAGGGAGCCATTATCCAATTTTCCATCTCTCTAACCAAACAAAGCATAAGTGGTATGGATGCACCAGTAATAAGAGGATTTATGATAGGGGAAATAGGACAACCGAAATTAACATGAAATAAAGTTATTAAAACTAATTTTTAAAAAGTTAAATGTTACAAGAGAAATCACTTGTAATAAAAAATAAAGAAAATTCATTTAACCAAAGTCAAGAACGAATATGTTTAATGCGTTGCGTTTGTCTGTGTGGATAATCAAGAACTTAGGATTTAAAAGGTCGCGTTCTAAACAATTTTCTTGTAACCTAATGGTTAACATCATCAAATTAGCTTCTTATACAAATGTCACAATTATTTGAACCCACGTTGCACATAATCACCCATGTGGCAAAAACGAATCGGTTCGGGTTAAGAACCATTTGGGAATTTTGATTTGACCCAAGTCCAGTCCTAGAGTTACTGGGTCCAACCAACAGGTGTACGTGGTCTAGCTTTCAAAATAATAATAAAAAAAGTTACTAGGGTGTGCTTTGTGTGCCCAAAACCATTTTTGTTTTTTACATTTCGATATGGACCCAAACCCATTTCACTTCTCGGCATTAATCTGTTTTGGCTTGAGAGATTGAATACAAAGTGGTGGTGGAGCCTTAACCTTAACAAATATCAACTTTGACATTAATTGGGAATTTGGAAGATTTCAAAATCATCCAAAATTAAGTGTCGGTGAGTTGTCCATATAGATTTATATATAATTTTTGTATAATTAATAGTAAGACATTTATATAGAGATTTTGACAATTCTATAATGCTTGATATATATAAGCAGTGGTACCCACTACTTTATAATAATAGAGAAAAAAAATAACCTATATCATGCATGGTTGTCCGTATAGGTTGTTGCAATGTCCCTATCTCACAAAGTCATGATATAGTTATATATATATATAGATATATCCATGTTGTGCCTACAGAAGAAAACAAAGCCACTTTGTACATTTTGTCCCTTCCATGACCCACACGTACATTTTGCAAATTTGAGTTGCAAATTATTAGTTTTCCTTGAAAGGCCTGCATTTTTAACACCTCCATGGGCCGAAATTTTGAAAGATTAAAAAGGGTTGTAAAAATTGGAATTGACAAATATGAAGACTAGGGTTCTAAATTATTGGAGGTTAGTTGAGCTTAGGATGATACTTCACCAATGTTTATGGGCTGATTTGGATAACTTATGAGAGTTCGATGCTCTGATTTGTTTGAAATATGAACTTGTACGGTTGTGGGCGTGGATCTATTTGTGCCCACTTATATTGACACATAGAGACTAAAATGTATTAAAGTAGTAATATTGTCGAAAATTATTGAAATTGTGTCAATCACCCTAAGGTCAAACAGATGATTTGACATATTTTTCAGGATAGTTTTGATGAGCCTGTTTTAGTTATAAAATATTGATACCCAATTGAAATAGGGTTAAATCGTATAAATTAGTAGCTTTTGGTGCTGGGTACGTTGTTTTCGGAATTCTATCATTTAGGATCTCGAAATAGTGCTTTGAAAATTGTTGATTACTTTGATATTTTTGTTAGAAAAGTCTAGATGTATTCTAATTGTTCTTATTTTTTATATCTAATAGTTTTTAAAAATTAGGTTTATTATCTTATTTATTCATAATTTTTTGGATGAGCTAAGTAGTTTAGTTGGTACATGCACCTCCCTGAATCGTCAGGAAGCTTAGGTTTGACTCACCACATCTCCCCTCCTTGCCAAGTAAAAATGAAAAAAAATTTGCTCATAATTTTTAGGGACAATTGGATTTTAGACTTATTTTTAGTTTTTCTTATATTGTTAAGGTTTTTATTTATTATTATAAATATATTTATTACACATGATATAATATTTATTCATTCTCGATAGGGCTAAAATCATAAAGTCTCCCCTTATTTTCAAAAACGTTATATAACCCCCCAATTATAAACCAACCCTCTGAATTAGCAAAAACTATCACGTTGCCCACTTTCCGAACTATTAACTTATTGCAAAATGGCCATAATGTCCTTGATAGTATATTAAAATATTTTATTAAACTGAAATTATAGTGTGAGAAGGGTAATTTCGTATTACTAAAAAAATGATGCAACTGTTCCCAAAGTATACATTTATTTTAGAATGGGGATAGTTTTTTTAATGATTAATAATTGAGTGTTGTAAATTTAACCAATAATAATAATAATAAGAAATAGACTTATAGAGTGGAGGAATGTGTCACTAACATTCCTTGTCAAAGTAATGGGCACCACCTAACACCAAATGAAATATTCCAATCATAAGATTTGAAGAATGTGGAGGTGGTGGGTGTTTGAAGCCGTACGCTTTCGGACACACAGATTCTACTCAAAATAAAACATAGTAGAAGTTTGGTGAAGTATGAAAGTGATAACATTTGTAATATTCGTTTTTTCTCTAAATTAGCTGTCCATAATGATTAACATACTCTAATTTAGTGTCTTGTTATATATATATATATATTATATTATAAATTTTCTGGTAAAAAAAACCCAAAAGAGAAATCTTGGAATTGACCCTTCCTAGATATAATATGAGATTTTATCTTGAATGTTCCTCAAAATGAGTATATATATATATATATATATATATAAATTATCCATGAACTTGTAGATATAGCAATGAGATAAGAAAGAGTTGCTAAAAAGTAAGAAAACAAAGAGGCAGGTTGAAACTAAGATGAGAAGAATTGATAAGAAAAGACCTCCAATAATTTATATATAATTGTAGACATTCATGTGAAAGGATGATTATAACAATTATATATATACACACACATAGTGAAACTTATGACATCTCCACAGGCAACAAGGAAACCAAAGCCCCACAACCTCCACAACCTGAGAGAATTGGTGAGAACACACAATTAGAGGCAAGAAATTGAATCTCCTTTAATATCATTTGTTATCACTCATTCTAATATTGTTCATTTTGCACATTTTATTTCGATGTACACAATTCTAAAAACAAATAGACATAGTTAGAAATTTTCATACACACGAGAGAACACAAAAGAAATGAAAGTTTGAACACATTGTGGGCATTTGTAGGAAAGTGAATTTAACTATATAATAAAATAATAGTGATTACAAAAGTATATTAAGAAACAAATAAACCCCAAAAGAAAAATTAATTAGCATGGAACATTTAGAAATCAAATAAAGAAACAAAGAACAATCCAGCGAAATGTGCTAGTCTAAATAGACTATTTGTTGAGAGCCCTACTTGGGCCCACTGTGGGAATTTTCATATATTTTATTAATACAGTAATAAAATATAATAAATCACAATAAATAAAATTTTTATTAAAAAATCCAATTTGTTCCAGAAGGCTCAAAACAGTGGGCAAGAGTTTTCTGTTCTGCTCCAGAAACAGTAACACTTTTGGAACAATAAGGTCAAATAACTGATCAGATATTTTAATAATAAGAGGTGATTTATGAGAAAAAATAAAAAAATTCTTTTAATGGCTTAAAACTTGGGACATTTCTGTCAAATTGGCTTCCAATGAGAACAGTAAAGTCCAAGTCAGCAACAACTAGTCCAATGCAATTTGCTTACAAGCAAGAACAACAAAAAGTAAAAAAAAAAAATATATATATATATATATATATAGAAAAAAGGGACTAGTTCAATAGGCATTGAAGAATTTAATAATTGATGGCGTGTAAAACATATGTAAGCATCACACTTGCATGAATTTACCATATATATCTAATATATATGTGTGTGTGTAAAAAAAATCAGAT